GTAAGCCATCTGGTTGGTTGGGTCCACTATTTGGGAAGCCTGAGGGGAAGAGACCGCTGGGGAGACCTAGACGTAGATGGGAGGATAATCTCAGGCGGGATCTATGGGAGATAGGAGTTGAAGGAGACTGGATTTTGTTGGCCCAGGACAGGGTCCGGGGGAGGGCTTTGGTTAATTCGGTGATGAACCTTTGGGTTCGGTAAGCCATCTAGTTAGTTAGTTATTAGTAAATTGTTCAATTGGAGGCATTATTAATTTCCTCTGCTCTCAAAGCCATTTTTGTAGCAAATTTTTCGGTATAGAAAGGAAGGCGAAAAATAATGAGGAAAAGATTGCTTTATCCTGTTTGTTATTATGGAAATGCGAAGTGCTGTGATGTGATTTATTGCAGCAGAGGACGAAAGAATCTGTTCTTTTGTAACAGTCAGTGTATGAAGTCGATATTATATCTCAGTTGAAAGCCCGCACCTTTATCAACGGGGCTGCAGAAGCTATATTTCGAATACTTCACTTACATTCAGTAGATTGGATCAGATGCTGGAGCGTGCAGCTTGACCCTCTGTGCTGAAAGGTTGAACGCGATTTACGTGCGATTAGTTTACAGAGGGATGGGAAATGCGTTAAGTGTGCGTGTGTATTTACACATGAGAGAAAACTGCCAAATTACTGACGTCGTCGTCGAGTAGAATGCGCGAAAATATTTGTTTTGGACTAGTTTAGTTTAACGGGTTCACTTGGGTTGCTGCCAGGGATGTTAATCTTGCTGTGTTATTTGCGCGTAAAATGATTTCAGTATGACTAAGAAGGAAAGTGTCTGAGGTGCGTTGACTGCAGTTTTCAGTAAAGGTACCGCAAACTGTGTGTGTGAGATTGGTTGTCGGCTGTGTCGATAACGATGAACACGTTTCCATTTATTTCAACAAACACATCCAAGCTTATGGATAAAATTTACATGAGTCCATTTGCCAGTCTTTCAGGTGATAATCTAAATGTTTGCCTCACTTGAAATAGCTTCAGTAGGCATATTTTTGGACAGGCAAAGGAATATGCATGTGATGAACACATTCTAAATGTAACTGCATTCCTCTACAACTATTATGTTTCAGTGACATATAAAATACAATGTTCTAATTGTTTTGCTTCATGTTTGGCTGGGTGAAGAATTCGCTCACCCGCAATATTTATTATGGGGTTGAACATGTAGGTAAATGAATGTGGCTGTTCTCCTTTGGAAAATGCAGCTGGTTATACTCGTCGCTCACCGTCAGAACTTCGATGTCACTCTATCATCTTGAAATTCTCGGCCATCGTCTTATTCGCTGATTACTCTCATGTTTACTAGATTTGGGTTGTTTAAGTTAGGAGTCGTTATTTAAGGGAAGTGTTTTTCAGACAGGAGTCTCTGAACCTGTGGGGGTGCAGAATTTGTGCCCAAGGGGTCTGTGAGTCTAGTGGACTCTACTCTTTTATTTGTTTATTTTTTTGGTGTTGTATTGCTGTAAGTTTCTAGCTTTTTTGGTCACAATTTTTACTTTGGAGCGTCAAAATGTATTTTAATCGGTGTATAATGTCTTTAATCAGAATGTATGAGGTCATTTTGGAAAGGGGTCTGTAGTGGTTTAAGGGAAATAAGGTTTTTGCAGAACTCACGTCTTCTCCTGTTGTACGAAACGGCTCTGTTTAACTTTAAAGCATGTGCTGCAGTGGCTGGTGAGATTTTGTGGTCGTTGTGGGAAGGTTTGAAGTCTGAAGGTGAGCAACCCACTCTGGAGTTCGAGCGGCGCGCGCATAAACCGAGAGCGACTTCGGCAGATCTGTTAAACACCACGGTTTTGCCAACTTTGATCACTTTACTGGAAAGCAAATTGTTGTATCACTTTTCATCTGTTCTCATTCTCATTTTTCTACTTGGCTTTCTTGCGAAACACTTACAGAGGCTGCGGAAACTTTCATTAGACAAGTCGCTTTAGAATACTGGTCACCTGTAGATATTTTTTAAGGCTTACTTTGTTCTAAGTTCCAAATATAGGTGTACTTTCTAACAGTGTTTACACAAGGACAACTCCAAGCTCTTCATCACTTTGAAAGTATTCTGAAAGTGAAAAGTGTGTATGCGAATCACAGAGGTAATAAATACATTATCACATTGTAATAGCTTGATACAGACTCAGTCTTCACGAATTGATGCATTATGCTCAGTACGAGTCCTTAACGTAGAATGTACACCTATTTTTGCTGTCATACTGTAGGTCTTCCCTCATTTCTCTTCTCACGAAGGGTTCAATTTATAGAACTGTAAAATTGTTACTTTAGATTTAGTATTTGTGGTCAGGTACGTTGTTTAAATTTCTATGTATTTTGGAGGAGACAATAGATTGAACCCTTCTTTTTCTCTAATTTCTTATACGTGGGCTTTGGAAGTAGAGCTTTAAAGATATGATTGTGTTCCCCAAACATAATGAGCATCCAAATGGTTTTAATATCACGTAGAGATTTTTGTGTCCGACGTGTAATTCGACTACTTCAAGCCCAGTCTTTCATCAGAATAACTCCCACACGCACGAGGTGTAATGTTGCAGTGTTTCACTTTCATCTTTTGAGAGGGTTACAGGATCTGAGTGTTTGAGTGTACTCCCATGACTCAACTTTTCGGTTGGATATGGGCCAGCGCAGCATCGACTGATTTCTTGTATTTTCCCACAAGTTCTGGCAGATCGTAAGCTATGGAAATATCTAGTCGGTTGATGGGACATCCCCTGAAGTAGGTGCACGTTGATGAAAGCAGTTGGAAATCATATAGAGGATTCAGCCTGAAGAAATCCTTGTAGACGTCTGGATCGGGCAGGTCATAACGCGAGATGTTAGTTAGAGTACTGAGGCCTTCATAAATATGGTAGTCCTGGGGATGCTCTATGATGTCGTCACTGATCTTCTTCTTGTTACCGAAGAATGACTTGTGGTTGTAGTAGGTTGTCAGGTAGCAGTCGACCATCTTTGCGTGATTGCGAACCCGGACCTTAAAGAAATTGGAAATATTAATTTGTGGTTTATGAGATTACAGAGTGTCTAAAATAAAATCTCTGCAAGTAACATTGCTTAAGTGGATGGACCGATACTCACAGCAAATCGTCGTGCGCTGGCTATCTTGTTCTCGACCCGCTTATCGATGGCATCCCTCAGGTCCCTTAAGAAGGCTCTTTCTTGTGCGTGCAGTAGCCGTGTGGGTGCCCCAACCTCGTATGGCAGCGACCAGAGCGACGCTGAATACATGACCGGAGGCTCGGAACTCGACATTAGGGGGCTGATGTTCCAGATCAGAGTGCCTTGCACTCTCATTAGTTCCTCAGGTCGCACTTGGTCAGCTTTGTTGAGAATTATGCGTGTCTGTAAAATGATGAACGACTTAAGTACGGGTGTACTCTTGGGTGGAATGATATGCTTTAAGGAGTTCCGCACATGTGGGTTCAAGAAGGATGTGTTACAAACACACTGTTTGCATGTTCCATCTGTGCACGCATCCATCTGTTGTCTTGTCCGTATTTTCAGCCATCTTAAAGTCAACGTGACCATTCCAGTATGGGATCAGTTAGGGGTGGCAGTTCACTTGACGTAAAGATGTCGGGAAGTGGTCGTTCTATGACTGGGTACCAAATTATAGTTTTGTAGTATTTAAAGCAACAAACCTGGTACTCTCTGCCTTTTAGCTGGTCCAGTATTGCCTCTGTCTCCGGTCCCACGTCCAGCTTTGACGGGTCATACACGAGGAATATGATATCAGCTCGGTCAATGAACCATTGGCAGGCGTCATTGAATGGAAAGAGGCGTTCGACTTGCTTACGGATCTCTAGAATTCCAGGAATTTCCACAATATTTACCTAGTGAGAAACAAGTGGAAAGTATTGTTTTTCAGAACTGAAAAAGAGAAATACAACTTTGCAAACGTGTGGCCGTAAATGTATAATGTATGCTTATGTTTCTGTCACGTACAAAATTTTAAAATTGTGGCACTTTGTAGAATGGTAGCATCGAATCTTTGAATAACTTTCTGTGCCATGAGATTAGGGGTGGGTTAGGAGCTCATTGATTACACAGAATAGTTATTTTGGATTTTGTTTTGGAGTTGACTTCTAGCGAAGGAATGTTAAAGTGTAAAATGACGCCTTCTTCTGTTGCATTACTCCGAGGTTTGTAGACACGGTACCTTCTCGAGAAGTCGGTTGGGTAGTCTGAGACCCCTGAGTCTGTCTAGCATTCCTTGACCAAACTTCTGCAGTCCTGAGAAGGTCCAGTCAGCGGCTAGTTGTGTGCCATCGAGGATCTCCAGCTGATCTCCCCACATCAGGATGTTGAAGTAGGCTGGAGATGGTTCGGCACCTTGACAGAAGCGAGAATGATTAATGGAGGCGTGTCAGTTTTGATTGTAAAATACAGAATGGAGGTCAAGCTAAGTTTTGTGTCAGGCCTGGTCGAGGTGACTTTAATTAAACATTGTTTTCCAAGTGGTGAACTTTATACCAGACTTACTACAGTTTTAAATGGTCGGCATCCACTAGGTTATAAGATGTCTTTGACAGAAAATATGGCCTTCATTGGGATGAATTTTAAGACATTTTTTTCTCTATATCACGTCAGTTTCAAAAGTCACTGTCAGATCACGGCATCGTCTTTGTGTGGGTGTGTTTAGGCGCACGTGTACTCATACATAAGCACACATGCATGCAAATGTGCATTCTCTTACACGCTTGCTGCGTTATCATAACGTTGTTGTGTTTTTGAAAGCACGTTTTGTTCAAGTGTAGGAATATATAATCTCGAATGTGTTGTTAAGTTGAAAAAGAATTAAATTATAAAAGTTGCTACAGCAGAATGACCCTCACACTTTTACAGATTAGAGGTGAATAGTTTGTGGCGCTGTGAAATAATTACATTGAAGGACGATGTATCTCACCTGTGCGTAATGCTGTGGGTGTGTATTCATTGTCGAGCAGGTAGTTGATTATCGTAGATTTACCACCACTCCAGGGACCCATGAAGAGGATAAGTGGTTTTGAAAATATCTCAGGGTCTTGAAAAGCAACAGAAAAGAAGTTAGTTGTATTGCTGTGTTCTTTTTGTATTTTAATGCATTAAAGCGAAGTATTTATTTCAGCTGAGGAGCTGGCTACGGACTGGACGACCAGGGTTCGATCCCCAACAGAGGCAGAGGATTTTTCCTCTAGCTTTTGGTCCCAGACTGGTTC